TTGTACAGAGAAGCGGAACTCATCTAGTGCTTTCAAATTCAACTTCCTAGCAACCTCTGCCACCTTAAAGAGTCTCTCTTCTTGAGCTGGGGCCAGCACGCTACTGCAACTCTGTGATGCCGTACGTAGGTCATGAAACCACTGTTGCAGCTTGTTCCGAATGTTCTCGATCATTGCGAGAATTGGTAACTCTCGATCCTTCTTAAACAATGCATTGAGAGATTTCGCGTTATTCGACGTCATCATGTTGTATCGACATCCTCGAAAGTTTGACCGAGCCCAATGTTCGATTCCCATGTTCGTTAGATACTCCAACGTCGGTAATGATTTACTTCCTATCTCAAACATGAACTTATTACACTCTTCAGCACTGTAAGTTTCGGCTGCTCTCCTGAACAATGAAACGATGTCTTTGCCCCGATACCTAGTTTTCAAATTACCTTGTATATGGTACATACAATAACCGTGATGTGCCTCTGGAAAAATTTCAGCGATACCATTTATTATAGACTGTCCCCGATTAGTTACAAAGGCAAGATCTTCGACTTCCCCGATCACTTCCCTCAGTTTCGAAAAGAACCAACGCATGGACGGATCATTCTCACTGTCGACTATGTCGAATGCAATAGGGTAAATTTGGATGTCGGCGTCTTGAGATGTAGTAATAATTAATTTGCCTTGATATTTAGCTTTTAGAGTTGTACCATCAACTAGAATTACGGGTCGCATTGAATTTTGAAAACCCCAAATACATTGTCCGTGAGCCATGAAGAAATACTTAAAACAATTATCGCTCCCCGTCTCAATAAAAAATGTCGTGTCAGGATTAGTTTTCCCCATGTTATGGTAGTACCTGGCCAATTTAGCATAGCTCTTCTCAGCCGATCCCATTAAATCCTTCGACGCACATTCTTTGGCCTTCCAAGCCTTCTGGTAGCTCATGACCACTCCATACTCTTGACGGACGTCGTTAATGATATTCGAAGGTCTGTAGATCGTTCGTGGGTCCTGATACTTGTGCATTATCTGTCGATCAATAAACCATGCTCGAGCTTGCCTGTGATCGTTTCGAAAAATTCCCACTTCGCAAGTATGTTCCCGTGAATACTTGCAAATTACGAAGCACTCATTCGTGTCCATCTTAGTTTCTCTCAAGCGCCAATTGCAACTGCCTTCGACGCAGGCAACTGTCAACAATGATTTGTTTGATTTCTTTACCTTGAACTCAAAGTTATATTTTAATATCAGCCGGTGCACAGCTTCTTGCAAATCTTTCTTGGTTTCAAACAGTTGCTCGACATACAAGTCCTCATAATCAGTAGCCACACGGGAAGAATTGGAGGACGGTCCACTTATTCCAACTTGTGAGCTCCCACCCGACTCATGTCTCTGTTGGGATAAAATAATCAAATTCTCGTTTGTAAACTCGTTTATATTCTTATTGTCTTCAACCGTCGACGGAATTCTGCGCGTAACAGCGACATCACGATTAGAAGCAACTGTCTCAGGAATAACCACATCATCCGCAGGAACTATCTCCATTGTCTCCCAAAAACCTCGATCATTGTTATTCGCCCTATCTGAATCTTCTCGTTCATTTTCGATAACATCCTTCGTAATTAAAGTCACACCAAGAACAGTTGGAGTCCGATGCATTTTATTCAATTCTAATGGATAATTCAATTCAACATCATTAGTAACGAATACCGATGACATCGGAATGGATGAATCCCTATAACCGTTGAATAGATATCTCAATTGCATATCGTATTGAGATGGATCGACATTCAGCTTATTTTGCAAATCGTGGTACATTTGTAAGTATCGTGTACTCTCTGTTATGGGAATTGTAATACAACCACGTATGTCACTCGTCCATCTCCATTCCCACCGATTATTTTCATTCAATTCGAAATCACCGAAATAACAGATGGGGATTATCATATCTGCATGAGGAAATGGATTTAATCAACTTCATTTATTAATTATAAGAAAAAATAATGCATTGCCAACAAAAATCAGTGCCAACAGTCGGCTGTCAACAGACAGTCGACTGTTAACAGCCGACTGTCGGCTGTTAAACAGCCAACAGTCACGTGACTGTTTGGCTGTTTAGCAGCCCATCGTCACGTGACTGTTTGGCTGTTTGATTGTTTAACAGCCAAATAGCCGATTGCTTTTCTGTTTTCCGCATTACGTAGAAGACAAAAATTATAGATCTGTTCAAATTTTTTTTTTCTTACGTCCGATCTGCTAAAAAAAAATAATACTAACTATTACTATGTCAAAATAAATTTTCTCTATTCAAACGTATACTAATTTACTGAAAATTAAATTAAACATGCGTAAATATACTTATCGATTTGAAGAAATTGATATGAAAGAAACTTTCGGCTTCAGCGTTTGAACCTTTTCTGAGATGTTGAGGTTCAAGCAGATGAACCATGAGAGTTTTTTTTTCAGTCTTGGAAGTTCGTTTTGAAGTTTTATAAGTGGGAAAGTGTTTGATTTTCAATTATTAACTAAAAGGATAGTAAAGTTTTTTCAACAATACATTATTTTGTAATTTATAATACATTTAAAAGTATCATTGTCTTTTAACATTCAAGAGGTCAATGTGATAATATTCATGATTTTCAAAGTCAAAGTGGAATTTCTTCTATTTGACTGGGTCAAACTTAAAAGTACCCCTAAGTTTAGCCCACCTATTTGCATAAAACTATATATTGTCTTAGGCATATTTTTTTACAAAATTTATCGTAATTTTTTTTCTAGAGTTGAGTATTTAAATATTATATAAATTTATAAAATATATCAACATTATACTCGTTATGTAGCTCATACTAAATAATATAAATTGGACTTAAGAAGAAATAGTTTTCGACTCGTTACATCTGAATTATTTTGTTAGAAAGAAAACTATACTAAATCCTATATTTATTGTAAAAAAATGGCATATATATATATATATATATATATAAAATAATGACAGAAATCCATACTTCAGTACGTTCTTGGAATTGGAAATGATTTATAATTTAATATGTATAGTGAAAATTACAGTGAATGTCAAAATTTGGGTTTGCATTTAAGAAAATGTCACTTTTTTTAAAGTCTTTACAAAATTATCAATTTATGACATTTTTGTCCCTCTAAATAATTTAAATACCGTACCTCGTTCCTCCCATTCCCACGCTTAACCAGTTGGGAACTTTGCTAATCTCCTCGCCAACTGCAGGTATGCGCATATTCTTTGACCCGTTCTTTTACGAATTCTTGAAATTCTTCCCTCGAATTTTCCTTTTGTGTTTTTTCAATTGGTCTTTTCCGTGTCAATTGCTTCTTTTGCTTCATGTAATTGTCTCCTGTGTATGGTTAGAGTAATAAATCATAATTAAGTTTTGTGATTAAAACAAAAGATCTTGCCCATTATTATAAACGCAGTCACTTCGTGAGATAAAAATAATTATCCGAATTGCTGTTGGGTATTTTTTTGCTTGTCCTTTTTCTTATTTGTTTTGTCCATTCGTCCTATACTTAGCCCCCGTTTGATCCCCATTAAATTTCATTTTTCTTTATTCTATTTTTAATCACACAATTTTTCATAAAATAATATTCCACGTAAATCGAAAACCTTATCTTTTCTTTCAACCACTCATTTTTCAAAAAAAATACTATTTCACCCATTAATTTTTCAACGTAATGGGAAACAGGGGCTTAATTTTCAGCTCTTATGTTATTTTCTGGGAAAGTTTTTTATTATTTCTATTTTGCGATGATTCTCAGAAAGAAAGGCTTTTTAACGACATTATACCATTACATGATAGTTGGTTCCAGTTATAATTTGTAAGTACCTTTCTTCACTGTCGTCGTTATAAGCGTCTCTCTCTCCCTCTCTTTGTTTTTTGTTTTCTAGTTCCATTTTTTTTTTTATCATTTACCTTAGGGAATAATTTATGATTTTATTATACGGGGTGATTAATTGAATTTTGAAATATTTTGTTTTAAAATTCTAGTTTAGTACTATGTTTAATTGTTAGAATTCAGTTATTGCTGCGTTTTTATTTTTCTGTGGAAGTGGAAATGGAAATGAATCCTAATGTTTGATAGAAATAAATAGAAATTCCAAAAATAATTTCAGCAAATTCTTCAAATTATAAAAGTTAGAATAGTGTTTAATAAATAATTTTCTCAGTGTGTTTTTACGAGCTTTTGCATTTCTTTTGGAATAACCTTGTGTCATAAATGGTCCGCTTCATCGATTTAAACTCATTTGGGCACCCTCTGCTTAAACTTAGTTTTAAGAATGAATTTTAACTAATGATGTGATAATAATGTTAAGAGTAGACGTCCCTTCTTAATAGACCCTCGTTGCGAGGTGATATAGGTATTGGGGCGGGGTACTTCTATTTGAACAACCTAATCGGAAGATTGATTCCATAAAGTCACCTAGTTAAAAATATAAAATGTTGTGGACGTCAAATTTGATGGGACGATATATTGTAACAATTACTTGGGAATTTCACATCATATTCTAAAAAGTCTGCTTTAATAAGTACATTGAGCACCTTTATTTACAAGTCGATTTTAAGGAAAGAGTTTTTCGTGATGTAATTTCTTATCTATGATGTACTAAAAAGTTGGAAATATTGGTCTCGAGTTTTTGTACTATCAGATTCTTTCTTTCTCCTAATGATACTAAATCCCTGTTTGATTTAACTAAAAATGTAAGTCTAATTTAACCATTAATTTTCACTATACATTTTAATTAGATACAAAAAATTCATCAACTTTTCAACCAAAATGAGTGATATGTTCTGTCCAAATCATCAAAACACTTTCCGGACAGATTTATTGTATGAATAACAGCAATTCAGCAAACCTGCTTAAAGCATACACTAAACTCAAGCATGCATCCGCTGTTTCTCTATCAACGTCATTCTTCTCTATTATCTTTTTCCAGATTACTTAATTTATAGTCTAAACCAGCTCCATATTTTCAGGCCTCAAGCCGACGCCTCCATTCGTATTTCATTTTGGCTGGAAATGTGTTTAACAATGGCCTACAACAATTTATGTAGTAAGTCTTTAAATCGATCGCAAAATACTTATACAATAAAATCCCCACAGTGAGAAGTGTTGAAGGTTGCATGCTCTTCATCGAAAGAATAGATTAGACATGAGAGGTGAAATTTTATTACCTTATTGCAGGGTCGAAGAAGGTGGAAAGAAAAGTATAATACCCGACATAAAAAAAATGTCCCGACCATTCGAGAAGCACGGGAATGCCTACCTGCAAAGCAAAACCAAAGTACAAGGCCTCTTTAACTGTAGTAAAATAATTGGTGTTGATCATCTAGCTGTGACTACTGGATGATGTTAGATAATGACAAAATGTTCAATAACGAAGATTGGATAAAATTGAATAATATTAAGAATGAAAAAGAGTTAAAATCTTGTTTACTATATTGTGTAATTTTGTCGAATTCAAAAGAATGAGAAATTAGTGATAGGTATGTTGTTTGTGTATGAAATTAAGGTTTATGTTTTGCTAAAAATATATCATGTATAATCTGTACATGTCAAATTTTTGCCTTGACTTTGTAAATCTAGTTATGCCGGAGGTTGAGGAATTTTTGTTGTTGGAATTGCTTGTTATGAAAAAAGCTTGAGGGATTATTATTATTATTATGAAAAATGATTAACTAATGAATAAGTATTATTTATGGGATATTCTTATAGCTAGAGGTTTTATACAATGACTAGAAGAAGCCTAGGCTGCCTAGCAAAAATTTAAAAATTTGATCGTCTAAAGTTTTAAAATGTGCTTGCACTAAATAATTTTCCTGGCTCTGCCCCTGCCAGCGTCACTTTTTTTCAGTAATTTTCCTTTCCTTTCCCTTGTCCCTTTCATCTGTCATCGTTTTCGTTTTCTATCCCACATTTTTCTTTCTTTCGCAGGTTTGGTTTCTTCTTCTCTATTAGCTTTTCTAAATTTCTACTCTACTTTGTTCCACCAAGAAAATACAGACCTATTGTCATCAATCAGTCATAACGAACAAGAAAATATGGTTTATTGATCTGTATTTTTGGGTTATGATCGATTTTTAGGGAAACAGAAATTACTGCACAATCCTTTTTTGTAGTTTAGCATTTGTATTGTATTGCATTTTTTTTATGATGAGTGGTGACTTGCCTGTTCGTTGCATTTAGTCAAAATTTTATTAATACATTATGCCTTAAAATCTCTTTGGGGTTTATATTAACATGCTGAACAAATATTTTATTTACATTTGACAATAAAAATTATTTCACTCAGCTTTCGAGTCAACACTCATTCATTGTCATCTAAGGTTGTTGCTGTGATATGCTATCTCAATGCTTTCCTTGTGGTTTTTTTAAGTCAAAACTTGAATACGTGGGATTTTATTTTTCTGCAATCAATGTTAGTGAAGTTGAAGCATTATTTGAGTTGTTTAAGAGCATTAGCAATTCTATAATTGACGATGGGTTAATAAATGAGGTAATTTGCTTTCAACATTTATCAAATCTTCCTTTGTACTTTAAATATATCATGATTACACACATCCTCTGTTTTTTCTCATAAATTATCTCGCTTATGAATTCTGGTTATCTATGGTCATAGAAATACATAATTGATTCGTTTCTTTAGTATCTTGTTTTAAGACCTGCTTTAAAAATCTTAATTGCGTAACTCTTCTGCACGCTGCAGCCTATTGCTTGGATGTGTTTTGACTTTGCAAACTTAGATATATTGTCTTTATATTTTAGACTTTCAAAGAAATTTCTTGCTTAGAAACAGTATTATCTGAAATCAAAATTTATGCATTAGCAATAAAGCACTAGTATCAAACTCTAAAGTTAACATAAAGGGAAATATGTTTCAAGGGAAAGTTTTGACATTATAATCGAAATTGTACTATTCTAGTCACTTGTCTATTTGCTTCATGTTCTATTTAACTATTGGAGTCAATTGAAAATGTGAATTGTAGCACATAATTGGAACTCTAATGAATGTTACACAAACACATTGATCCTTGACCTTTCAAAAAAAAAAAAAAAAGTTATACAAACACATTGATCCTTGCACTGAAATTGGAATGTTATAGTTTCTTATAACGAATTTCACCTACATGTTTTTCTTTTGTATAATACCTATGTGGGAAGGAAAAAATTAGATTTTTTGATAGTTCATCTGTCGACAATTGTTGCTGATCTATCGTTCTCGATAGTTAGCCTTAGTAATTCTCGACAGATAAAATGTCGAGAATGACAGCTCAGTCATTGCCTCAGCTCAATGTATTCTTTATTAATTTCAATCTACACTTGACATATCTTTCGTTTCAATGTTTATGTTACATGTGTCATAACCTTACTTTCATTCGTGTCATCCGCTTACTTTGCAACTTTCCCGGTTCCTACCACTGTAGCTCGAGTAGGAGGCGGAGTTACTACAAAGAGACGACAATCGACACGACTGCGACGTCCGGCACCTGCTATTAGGACTCCGTACACGAGGGGGAGGGCGAAGAGAACAAAGAATTAAATGTGAAAGAATTTCCGACTGTAGCATTCGGATTAACAGTTGAACTTGCTTTTGCATTTTTTTGCTTTGATTTAGGAGGTGAAGGATGTTTGTTAATTGCCTGGATACTTGTGGTTTTTACCTTTCTTTTTTTCTTTTGTAAATTACATTTGAATGATTATTGGCGAGCATGGTGACACTTTGACGCATTCCTCACATTTTGCAATATCCATGGTGAATACCGTGTCATTGTTTACTTTTGTTGACACTGCTGTAGTATAAGTTATTCGGCTTTAGTCTATTACGTGAATCGTACATACTGTAGTTCATGTCTTGTTTCATTTTTTGTTCAGCCTCGCACATTACATTGAGTTTAAAATTCCTTCTGATTTTCAATCTTCAAAGAAGTTGAAGAAAAGCTCAGACTTATATGTATGTATAGGTTTTACGAATATCAACTTAGGAATACATGGTGAGATTGAACATGATAGTGCCTTCGTAAACTATAGATTGAGTTAAGATGAGGATCCATTAAAAGTGTCAAAGTCATGACAACCATGGTACAACTAATTCACAAGTGAGTGTATGTCTATTTCCTTGTCACAGGTATTTTTTTGTGAATTAAGATGATGAGCATGTTTTGTGAGAAACTGTAGCTTTACAACAATGGTACAACTAACAAGCTGGCAAATGAGAAGTAATTAGTTGCAAGAAACCAGATGAAATGAATTGTACACATGATTTAAGATATAAGTAACTGGCAATGTCCTAGTAATTATGGTACAATGGGGGATAAATGTACACTTACTATATTGAACCATCACACCAATTTCTTTTCAAATTTACTTGGAGATTGGACTTGGTGGTTGGGCAGATACTGAAGTAACTGCTTCCTCTCCTCAGGATGGTTATAAATACCATAATATCATTGTTATTTACAAGCAATTTTTCAGCCAAGGTATCGTGACACTTTCAACTTACCTGCACAGCATTGTAACATTTTCAACTTACCTGAAGATCATTGTGGTATACATTTTCCTTATGTTTATTCTTCTTTATTTATTCTGCAGTTTATCAAATTCGAAGTTATACAATCTTTAATGCTGTGCACGTTTTTGTCAACTGTCGAGAATGAAGAAAACATCTGTAGGGACTGATAGTTCAACTGGTCGGGATGTTGTGCAATTGAAAAATTGAAATTGGTGCATTTTATAACTTTATCACTTTCGAAAAATGAGGAAATCATTTCAAATTTTATAAGTTTCTTGCTTTTGGAAAAATGGAAACTATAAGCTTAACCAATACAAGTGTCTTAGTTTAACATCTTAATGTAGATATTATAAGTTTCTCATTTTTGGCAAGTTACAAGTCCTTGCAATAGAAGTAAACTTAGATATTCAAGGCATCACAAGCATTGTCTATCAAATTGTATTTGAGATGTGATGAAAATAAGTTGGTAAATGAATACTCATTGGCCTTAAGTGTGCAAGTTTCTCTGCCCAATTATAAATACCAGTTTAGGACTTAATGTTCATAAACTACCCCTTGAAAGACTTCAAAAAGCTATTGTGAGATCCCTTTTTGAAACAGGTAGTTGATATGAGATAATGAGTTCATCCACCTCCAGCAACGAATCATTCAACCCAATATGCATCCGTCGATACTAGGTTCGTTCGTTGAAATTTTCATCGTTTTATTCTCAGATGATGAGGAGGTAAGAGTTGAGTACCATGGTGTCAAGTTCGAAGAGGTGTCAAGTGCAGAATCTAAGTTACCGAAATGTGTGCTCAATCAAGTTTTCGAGGTCAGGGGTTCGATCGAATCACCGTCCGACTCGGACGAGTGGTTAGCTCACGTTCCACCTCCAGAAGTAATTGTCATTAGCTCAGACGAGTCTGATCTAGAAAGTGGGGGAGAAGCTTAAATTGTTGAAAGCAATGCAAGTGTGCAATAAATGGCCTTTTGTAGGAAATTATGTATATTATTTTGTGGTAGGGATGATTTCGGTCACATCCTCTGCTTACATGCAGAAACAGTATTTTCATAATAGGTAACCGCAATAGTGTATTTTTTGAAACCGTTATTAATCCTGACTGTCAAGAATTATAGAGACCATTTGTCAAGAACGACATGTGAACTGTCGGGACATGATGTTGGTGTGTTGCTTGTGAACTGTCTCCTGATGAAAATCAATTTTACGTTTCGAAAGACTATCAGTTAAAGCTAATGGAACTTATATGATCGGCTAAATTTATAATAAGAAAAACATATTCATCTCATTTATGGTAATAGAACCGTAACGATCGATACTTTGCTTGCGAAACATAACGATCAAATTTTTGTTCGCATACGATAATAACAAAAGATTCATAAAATAAGTTGGAAATGTACACTGTTTATTTAAATTACATTTTCGGGGATTACATTTGACAACCACTATTACACATCACGCTTGTTCACGTCGCTTGTGATACAATGAGATTCGAACGTGTGGTTCGATTATGACCAACTCTCCCACAACGAGTGCATTTCTTGAGTTGGGTAGTGGACTCATATCGGACGCGCTTACGTCGCGTGAGTGGTCTACCTAGAGGACGACGTACAACCGATGGCAAAATACGAGTACCCAGGATTTTGTTTGGAACAACCCAGTACACTTCCTGCGTAATGGGAGATATTGCTTCCATATAAGCACCCCTCCAGT